GGCTGGGGCTCAACCCTCGGCGTCAAGCAGCGTACAGAGGCCGCCGACCACCCTCGCTCCTCCGCTCTCGCTGTCCCCGGCTCCCCTTCTAAAACCGGTGCAGATCTTCCTGGAGGAGGGCTTTTTTCTTTTTTAAGCAGACTCATAAAAAGAAAGACCGAAGAGGTGGTTACCAGCAGGGAGAGGCGGGCGGGGTGGAGGGGGGAATGTTGTCAACGACGTGGTGAGTGTCCGTGGCGACGCGGCGTCACTGGAATCAGCGGGGTGATCGCAGAGCGAAGTGTCACGCGGGTGTGACGCGGCTGCGCGTTGTTCTGCGAAGGCAGAGGTCGCTGGGGCGCTTCCGGCCGCGGCGCGCGCCTGGGTGGTGGGTTCCGTCCCTGGTCGGGGCGCTCAAGAGGCACCGATCGATGTTTCTCTCCCTCTCTTTCTCCCTCCCTCCCCCTCTCTCTAAAAACAAATAAATAAAATATTCTTTTAAACGCTGAGTCACTACCTGGTGCACGGGAAACCAACATAACCAATGCAAGCTTGTATACCAGCGACACCTAAACAATAATACAATTTTTTAGAAAGCACATTTAGGAGCACATACAGGGGTAGAAAAGTGAATGTCTTTCCAGCCTGTGCTTTCATTTCCTGGTTCCTAAGTCTAGATGGCGGGGCGCACGGTGACCCCCATGGCCACAAATGTCACGCGCGCCGGCAGGTCTCCCCGCTCCAAATGGAACAGTTTCTACAACTAGACCCGTGACACCCTGTCACCCTCGCTTGTAGCTCCTTTCAGTTCAAGCGGCAGATTCTCCGAGTCTGAGACTGAATGAAGGTAGCGGAGCGGCTCAGAGATCAGCTGCCTCGCATCAAAATGGAGCCACCCCGGCGGAGCACCACTCCACCGCCGGCTGGGGACCACGGACGCTGTCCTGCTCAGAGGCGGCAGCTGGGCAGGCACGTCTCTCCTTTGCGAGTCCCCTCCTCTGTCTTAAATGGCAAACGGGGGAAGGGGGAGGGGCGGGCGAGGAGAGCGGCTGCCCTCCCCACGGGGGATCGCGGGCGGGCGGGCTTCACCTTCTCGTTCCTTTCTTTTCCTTCCTCTGCCCCCGTGAAAGTGTTGCCTCCGTCTCGTTAGCCACTGGCTGGGCGTCGAGGGCTGTGGGGGACACAGGGGTCACACTCTCAGACGCTACAAAGCGTCAGGAGTGAGAGACACCTTGTGTGCAGGGGAGGAGGACACGGGAACACAGGCGAGGCAGACGGCCGTGTCTCGCCAGGCCGTGAGGCTGACCGGGGGGAGGGACACTCCTGCCAGCACCTGGGCGGGGAAACGGCCCTGCGTCCCCCCCAGGAGCCTCCGGAGCGAAAGGCCGGGTCCAGGAAGCGCAGGGAGGAGCCGCTTCCCGCGGCCGCAGGAGGGGACCCCTGCGCTGGGCCGCCGCCTCACCTGCTGCCTGCTGCCCTTTCCGGGGACCGCCCAGGGCTCACGCTTATGGCGCAGCCGGAGCTGGAAGGCCCCAGAAATGGTAACAATAGATTTCATGTTTCTGTATGAGCCCAGGAAACCACACATCGCCGTTTGTCTGATGATGTTTGAGTCAAGATGTGTGCATGTCCCTGGCATGCGAGCGTGGAAGGAAAATTTCTGAACGTTCAGTGGAGCCTAATTATTTTATTATTGAAAATCGTGCTCTTGTGGATCCTTATCTACATGGTGAGGAGGCTGGTGGCAAACGGTGAGACAAACTCCCCTCCCTCCCGGTACACGAGCCGCTTCATTCCACTGAGGGGGGCGGCGGTGTAAGCACTCCGGCCCCTCCCCCAAACTCATTTCAGCCTGATTAAAGTGAATGTAATTAAACTAATTTACTTTTCTGCGTGTCTGTGTGTCTCTGCACATCTGTGCGCGTGTGCACATGCGTGTGTCGCATGGGGTAGTGCTGTGTGTCCAGACCACAGCCCTGGTTTCCTTTGTGGAGGCGCCCTCTGGTGGCCACGGGAAAAACTGCACCGTGACATACACCTGCTCTTGCTGACTCGCCCACGCAGGTTCCGACGCTGGTTTTCTATGTCAAGACCTTGGATGAAAAAAAAGCCCCCACTAAGCTACAGAGTGATACGGGAATTTTTAAGAAAATGTTTGATGTGGGGTCTGAAAAGCGGGGGTGCGGAAGGTTGAGGCCCAGCAATCACCTTCCTTCTGGAGTCCTGAGCGCAGGCCCGAGGTGCAGCGAGCGTTCGGGGCGCGAAGGAAGCAGGAGGCGCAACTGGGGCTCAGGGCGCAGAGGCGGCCCGGGGTCCAGAGGGCGGGGGCGAGGAGCCGTGGGAGGGGTGTCCGTCCAAGGGACGGTGCACCGCGTCCCCGGGGCAGAGGAGCAGGGACAGCCAGCCATGACAGACACCTCAGAGTGTGTCCCTTCTTCAGCGACACCCGCGGGGGGCCGGCGGCGTGTTTATGCGAATGTGATCCAGCTGCAATGGTCTAGTTTCTGCCTGTGCTCAGCACGTTGGTTCCAATGTTCGATACGTGACGTGTTCGTGCGTGTTGAAATCAGACCCCAAACCCGCACCAGCAGGCCGTGGGGGGCAGGGCCAGAGTGCGGGTCCCCGGGGGCTGAGGGCAGGCGGGCGGCAGGGGAGTCTGGAGGCGGCACTTCTCCCCACCCGCCCAGCGGCCGCTCAGAAACGGGGAGCCTTGTGCAGCCTGTCCTGCGGCCGAGCAGCCAGGGCCGGGTGTGAGGGAGCAGAGGCCTCCCCTCGATCGGCCGGAGCTCAGGCCCCATCTCGCCCTCCAAGGCTCAGGGAACATACGTGAGGTGTGTCCCAAACCGTGGACAGACGGGGACAGCCAGGCTCAGGGAACCCAAGAGCTGTGGTCATGGCGCAGCCCCCAGGCTCCGGGGCTCCGGGTCCCTCATGCGGACCCCTCTGGCCGCCCCCTGGGCTGATGGGGGTGGGGCGGAGGCGAAGGACACAGTGTCCCAGGCTGGACTGAGCGCCCGCCCAGGGACAGCGGGCAGCCCAGCAGGGACGGGCGGGTCCGGGGCGGGGACCAGAGCCCAAGTGAGGTCGACGGCAGGGCAGGCACCCTGGTGGGAGGCGGAGGCCTGTGTGGGGACCCAGGGCGATGCCCCAGGAGCCCCAGGGAGCATTCCGCCCCGGTGCCCTCCTCGCCGTCCACGGCGGAAGGACAGCCGGGCATGGCCCACGACTACGCGGTGCCCCCGCCGCCGGGGGCTGTCAGCTCTGTCTCCTGGGTTAGGGTGATGCTTCGAAGTGGATGCTCCCGAGTGTGCACCTGCAGGGAGGTTCGCGGCCCTGACCCCTCCCCACGTGGGGGGGGAGGGTGGCCAGACCCCCCGGTGGCCCCCAAGCTCTGTCCCCAGGAGGAAGAGCAGTTGGAGGCTCGGGCCGGCCCCCAGGGGCTCACTGCAGGTGGGTGCTCGTCTCCCGCGCCCCCCACCCCGAGCGCTCGCCGCAGTGGGGGCCAGCCCGGCCAACACCCCGAGTGCCCCCTGAGCTGGGCAAGGGAGGGCCCCTCGCCTTGAAGGCCCCGCCCACACCTCACCTGCCACGGGGACCCACGCATGCCAACACCACCCCAGAGCAGCTGGCCCCTGGGGGTCACGTGCGCCCCGCAGCTCCGGGACGCCCTGTGGTGGCTTAAAGACACCCGTGGCCCTGACACCACCCACCCACACACGACGCCGATGTGGCCGGCCCCGGGGACAGTGAGGGACACGCCCTCTGCCCACCCGTGGACCTGCCCCATCACGGCCCCCCCCACAGCGAGACCCCATAGGACACAGACAGCACAGGCAGGGACACGGGCCCCTCCAGGCGGCATGTGCTCAGCAGGCGCCACTCTCGGGAGGCGTCCTCCATGCCCGCAGCCCAGCCTCCCTCCCCAGCGTGTCACGTGACAGCCGCTCTCATTTGAAGAGGAACAGCGCCCTCCGGTGTCCATGGTGTCCGTAAATGATGGCACGGGAGCCACGCGGTGACACTCACACTTTATTTATGCTGGTGGCGCTACAGGACACGCGGTCACAGCTGTCCCCACCAAGAGCCTCAGACCCCGGGTCCCACCCCGCAGCCGCACCCCCGCAGAGACCACGCCAAAGAAGCGCCTCCCCGGGCCCCGCGCGCCCCCGGTGACCCGACCTCGGGGCCGCGCCCAAGCTCCCGGCCTCCATGCTGCGGGGTCCATTGCTGGCATTTTGACACCACGTCCACACTCCTCACAACGCCCCTGTTTCCACGAGGGGAAAGAAAAGGCGGGCAAACAGCGGGCGCCGGCGTCAGCGGGAGAAACGCCACCGCAGGGAGCAGCAGGGTTAGCGCCGCAGCGCGGGCAGCGAAGGGTTAAGCAGCAGCTCATGCAAAGAGGCCGCGGCGGAGGCTGCACAGCGGCTGGAGCGGAGGCTGGAGCGGGAGCCGGGGTCCCAGGAGGCACCCTGAGCGCGCCGGCCTGCAGGGGTGCGCACGCGCGCGCCGGAGGCGCGTCCATCTGTCCCGGGCGGGACCTCAGCTCAGAGACAGAGCTGGGTTCGCAGGACCAAGTTCTGCACAGTCCTGACACGCGCTAAAAGGAACAATCACGGATCCAGGATAAACAGGTGGGATTTGGCAAAAATTAAAGAACCTCTCAAGTCGCCGTGGGACGACCTGGAGCCCAGAACGGAACCCTAACTACAGAGAAGCCCGTGCCCCCCGGGCTCGGGGGCGGGGGCGCGTCACCTGCCGGTCACCTACACTACCTTCCAATCCCCACACCGAGCCGCCGGAGGGGGAGACCCGCCCGCGGACGGGCCCCTGCGTCACGCCGCCGCCGCGTGGGGAGCCGGCCCCGGGGTCGCGCGGGGAGCAGAGCGTGGGGAGCCGCCGCGCGGCGGGAGCCGCCGTCTCAGCGCTGGGGGAGAGGCGCCCGCCGCCCCGAGGTCCTCGCGCCCGCCGCCGCCCGGCGGCCCCGCGGCGTCCGCGCTGGGAGGGGCGCGGCCGGCGCGGCAACGCCCGCCCTCAGGCCCGCGCATGCGCGGCGGCGGCGGCGGGCCCGGTGCTCAGTGGTGGCCCTTGGTCGACTTCTTCTTCTTGGACTCGTCCCTGTGCTTCTGCTTCTTCCTCTTGCCTCCTTCTTTGAGTCCTAAGGAAACACGGCTTGTGAAACACTGCGCGAGGCGGCAGCCCCCCACCAAGAGCCGACCGCGTCCTGCCGACCCCACGCCCGCGCGTGGCTCCCCGCGGCCCGCGCCTGCGGCTTCAAAGAGACGCGGGCGGCTCCGCGCCGCGATCCACGGGGCGCCCGCCCTGCCGCCTCGGACGAGCCCGCCGATCCCCCGGGACCACCCACCCGCCTCCGTCCCGGCTGCCTGGAGCCGCCCGGCGCTGCACGGAGGCCACGGACACGCAGGGGCGTCCCGCTCGCCCGCGGGGGCTCTGGCCTCCGCTCGGCAGGGCGGCGAGCGCTGTGCTGAGGCAGCGGCTCCTTGAGCCAGGACACAGGCAGGGGCGTGGGGGGGGGGAGATTGGGTAAGAAAAGCTTGGTTTCAAGGGCCTGGCTGGACAGAACCAAGAAACGGAACCGGGCCAGGGACCGGGGCCCCCAGACCAGGTTACAGGTCACCTGAAAACATCCTCAAGATTTTAAGTAACAAGAAGCGTTTCACAGCGTCGCTGGTCCTGCCCCTCCCCCATGTGCACGAGGGACCCAGCTCACAGTCACAATCACAGGGTCCCCGCAGCCGGCCCTCGCCACGGGGGCGGGGAGAGGGGGGGCCGCAGAGGCCAAGGGAGGCCCGCTCGCAGGGGACGGCCCCACGGCCCCACCCACGGCAGCCACGTCCCCGCCCGCGAGCCCCTCGCGGGCCCCACGCCGACTCCCCGAGGGCTCCCAGGACGGAGCCCCCGCTCACGCTGAGCAGGAGGCTGTCACGCCTGCCCGAGGCCACGCCAGGCGGGCCACGTGTTCGGGAAGATTCCTCGCAGCTCGAGTGGAAGGGAGTAAAGGGCTGAGGTGCACGGAGGCCATGGCTCTGGACGGTGAGGGCGGGGCCCGAGCACAGCACCACCCTGTGGGGAGGCCCAGGGACCCGCCGCAGCCGCGGAGCGGAGCCGTGTGGGAACGGGCGGCCGTCCTGTGCCGGACGGGGTCGCGTGTCAGCCCGCCCCCCGGCAGCCGCCAGCGCGGAGCCCCTGTCAGGTTGGGAGATTTCTTCACATTCACGAAAGAACAAACATCGGATGGACACTGTCCCCGTCCGATTCCAACAGCGTGACCAGCGGCTGTACCCGGGTCAAGACTCTCAGACCGACGCCGCGGAGAACGCTGGCGCCCGGGTGTGCGCCGACCTCCGGGCGCCTGCGGACCGAGCCCCGCTCCGCGGCGACAAACGGGGCGGCTCCTGGCCCAAGGACACGCAGGCCTCGGGGCCCCACGGGCCCCCCAAGCCCGGCCCGGCCGCCCCTGCAGCAGCGCCCGCACCCGCCGGCCTGCTCTGCCGTCCGCGGCCCCGCCCTCCAACCACGCCGGCCCCAACGAAGGCCCCGAGGTGCCGTGCTGTCGGGAGACCGGGCCTCGCTGGGGTCTCAGAGCGTGCAGCTGTGAAGAAACGGGGTCCCGGCACAGCGGCCGGGAGGCCGGCAGGCGCCCTGTGGGGAGGTGAGCGTCGGACCTGCCGGGCGCGGGGAGCACGCGGGGTCTGCCGTAAAACACAATTTGGTATTTCCCTAAAATGTTCCACGTTTAAATTTTTAAAAAGAAACGAAACGTAGGCCCTCCCGGGCCCCGAACTCCCGACGGAGGACGCGCCTCCGTCACGCGGGACTGCACGCCTCACGCCTGCGGCCCCATGTCTGAGCGGCCCCTCAGGCCCACCCCCGGGGTCAGGGCCTTCCGAGGCCCCTCACGGGAGACGCGCTTGTGAGCAGCAGCTGTAAGTTCTCAGCGAAGCGCAGACAAGCACGTTAGTGTCGCTGAAAGACAAGCCGCCGGCCCCTCGGCAGCGCAGCCCGGCCGCGGGCCCCGCGCCAAGGGGCAGCCGGCAGGGTCCCGGGGTCAGAGGCGGAAAAGGAAGCAACCAGGACCGACATCTTTGTTCGCTGCCAAGTTCTCTTCGTGCAGAATCGCGTTCTCCTAACAGCCACACCTGCCGGAAGCAGCGACCCTTTCGACGCTTAGCGCCTGACGCCGTGCTGGGCCCTGGGGCGCGGCGGACGCCCAGGCCCACCCCCCACGCCAGGAACAAAGCGTGAAAGCCCTGGCCACTGGGGCTCCGTGGGCTGGGCACGTCCCACCCAAAGCAGGAAAGTCGTGGGTTCAGTTCTCGGTCTGGGCAGGTGATGGGGGTGGGGGTTTGGTCCCTGATCGATGTTTCTGTTTTTCTCCCTTCCCCTCTCTCCAAACTAAGTAAGTAAAATTTTTAAAAAAGCAAGCAGGAGTTTTACGGGGTTAGACTGCAAGGCCACAGCACCTTGAGGAACCAAATGCCAGCAACTGACGCCCGCGTCCCCTCTCACCTGCCGCCTGCGCCAGGCCCGCGGGCTGAGCCCCGAGGCAGGGCTGGGAAGGGCCCCCCCACACCGCAACCTCCCAGGTCCCCTCCGTCGCCCCCTGATGCTGACACACAGGGCAGTGAACATGGGAACTGCCCACATCAGCAATGAAGCCAGCGTTCGGGGCCCACGTCCCAAGAGCTCAGCGTCAGCCCGCAGCCGGCACTCCCTGAGCGCCCGGCTGCCCGCGTCCATGGCTGCCCGCGCAGCGGACGCGCGATGCCTGTCGCCTCAGGTAACCAAGTTCCCGGCGTGTGCTGCTTTTTAAGGGACATCACCCGAGACGCGGGACGCGGCAGGAAGATGACCGGGTGACCGTCCAGGCCACAAGGGAGCCACCCAAGGGCTTCCTGAGCCGGGGGGGAAGGGGGCCCGCCCTGCCTGAAGCAGAGCACCCCACGCCTGCACCACGGCCAGCCGGCCACGCCAGCCTCCACAGAGCGGGACGCAGCTGCAGAGGGTCGCCCTGCCTGCCAGAGGCAGGCGCCCGGGGACCGGGACACCCGCCCTGCAGGCGGGGACAGCTCAGACCCAAGCTCTGACTCTTCCTCCCTGTTCTCTCCTCGCTGCCTTGGTGCCTTGAACCTTCCTCAGGGCGGCTCGGCTCCGTCACCTCTAACAAAGAAGCTCAGCTGTCGTCTTTGACACAAGCAGACTGCAGGGGAATCTCGTCTCAGTCCCTGGTGACTTCGCGGTGACAAGAGAGAGTGTGACTTCCACGGCGTTCAGAAACGCTCCAGACAACGCCCTGGGCTGCCAGGCAGGCCGCCGGCCCCACGGCCGTGGACGAGGCCAGGACAACGCAGTCACCACGTGAGAATGCACGCCGCATTCCTATCGCTGTCCCCACTTGGTAACGGGCCCCGAGAGGACCCAGTGGTAGAAACAGACAAAGACACGTGATTTCAGAGAGGAGCCACTTCCTGCTTTTCCTGCTCACTCGGGGCTCCCCAGGATTCTCCGGGGGTGGCGAGCGTCCCTCCGTCGGCAGCCCCGCCTGGGCAGCGGCTTCACGCTGGACGGAGCCCTCGGCTCTGGGCGGCCGGCCGGCGGCGCCCCTCGCTCCTGGAACCGGGACATCGCGACGCAGCCCGTGAAACCGCCGTCACACGGCGTCTGTTCCGGCGAACGGGGTCCTGCCCCGCCTGCCCCGGGCCGCTCAGCCCCAGGAGGGACGGCGGGTCCTGGGCGGGCGGGTCCTTCCCGGGCCCCACAGCCCTGCCAAGCCCGCGTTTCGTTCCGTCACACGGAACGGGCTCGCGCCTCCAGTGGCCGCGCCGTGGCCGAAGCTCGAGGACACCCCACAGCTGGTGGGGCACTTCCGTCCTAACAGACGCCTGTGCTGCCTCCAACAAGGACCTGGAGGGATGTCAAGGGGCCGATTTCCAATAGAAAGGTCTGGGAGGCGAACGTATTTCTGAGACAGCCTGGCTTTGCCCTTGGTCCACGGATTCAATCTCATGACCTCACTGGAGCTGGAGGACCAAGGATGAGCCTTTCCCTCCAACGCACAGCCTGCGACCCCCAGTGGTCAAAACTGGAAGCACAGCCTCAGAGACCATCCAGAACCTTCTGTGGGGAACGGACTTCAAAGGCCCACCGGGGTGGGCCCTGCAGGAAGGGCAGGAAAAAGACACGAGACCCTTCGGCGCTGAGGCCACCCAGCACCCAGTCTACGCCGGGAACCTGGAGCACTGAGGAGACACTTATGAAAAGGGGCGTTTAAGGTCAAAGCAGCTCCTGCTGGCCGTGCCCAAGACAACACGCTTCATACCGTCACAGAAGGCTGGCGCCCTGCTTTAATCAGGGGGGTCTCCGGGGGGGCGCCCCCCCCGGCCCGGCCACCTGGCCCCCCCACGCCACACCCACCCATCAGGTCAGGACGCAGCAGCACAGCAGCGATTTCTGTCCTCGCTGGCCCTGGGCGGGAAGGGGCGCGTCCCTCGGGGGAGGCTGCGCCCGAGCCTCCCTCTGCACACCTGCTGAGAGCACGGAGGGGTCCCAGGCGCTGCTGGCCCGGGGTCGGCCCGGCTCGTCCTCGTCCTCGCCAACACCGGGCGCGTGTCTGGGCATCGGGGCGGGCTTGTGGGGCTTCGGCAGGCGGGCGCTGGTGCTGGCCGGCTGCGAGGGCAGCGCGTGCTGGCCCCTGAGCCGGCACGCCTCCAGGAAGGCTTCCTCGTCGGCCACACCTGGAAGGACAGACGAGACAGCCGTCAGGTGGCCGCTGCGGGACGGGCTCGCAAGGCCGCTGGGACCGCCCGCGGAGACGCCGCCTCATCTGGCCAGCTGCGCCTCGGAGACCTAGAGGCCGCCGCCCGAACCCGAGAGGGGAAGGCGGCGCGGGGCCGTCCTGTCCCCGCCCTGAAGGCACGTGGGCGCGACCTGTGGAAGCCCATCGAGGCTGGACCCCCGGACGAGGTCATCAGAATCGACCCCGCGGCCACCCTGGACAAGGCGGCGGGCCACCTCCGGTCTCCGTGGGCAGCTCTGCCTGTCTCTCCGTGCCCACAGCAGCGAGGGGACGGGGGTGCTGGCAGGGAGCCCGACCGCGCCCCCGCGGTCACGGTCACAGTCACGCACTCAGCACGCACGGCTCCCCGGCGGGCAGAGCAGACACACGTCCTACACAGGGCAGTCCTCCTGGCTCCCACGGACGTGTTTCTATGGGTCTTTTAAAAACAACAAGTTTTGCACATTAGGTGGACATTAGGGAGCAAATAAGGAAAGGAATGGTCGTTCCCGCCGATTTCAGAGCCCTTCCCTCCGCAGCTTCTGACAAAGTCACACCCCCATTTCCGGTGTGGACGGAGGTGGGGAGACCACAGCAGCCCCCGTCCTGCCCGCCCCCCCCCGCCAAGAACTGTGTGCTCCGCAGCTGTGCCCTCAGGGGCCGTCTGTCAGGGGCGGGAACCCAGGCGCAGGCCAGGAGGCGTGGAGGTGCCACCCTCGTCCCCGATGTCTGTCACGCGTCACCACACGGCGACGGAGCCGCGCACGCAGCCCCGGGGCCCCAGCAGGCTGTCCACAGCCACGCCGGCCGCCGGAACCGTGAAGGCCGCTGCGGGAGGAGGTCGCCCAGGCACCGGGTTCTTTCTTGAGAAGTGACAAGGTTTCAGGGGCCCCCACCGTGGGGCTTGCATTTGAGAGGTTCTCCCAGTTAAGTGTCCAGTTCTGTCCCATGAAGTCTCGGGCCCGCGCAGCACCGGGCTCGGCCCACAGGCTCCTGCCCCCCAGCCCGGGCCTGCGGGGGCGGGACACAGGACCGCGCCCCCACCTGGGGCCTGCCCTGCGGCAGCCACCCCCCGCTCTGCAGGGAAGGCCCGGACACAAGCGGGGGCCTGTTTCACAGGCGGGGACATCCAGGACCAGCCTGGAGGGACATCTGGTGCCAGGGCCCTTGGCCGACTCACGCTGTCCCAGCCCACGGCCAACACCTGTGCCCTGGACCCCGGCCACAGCCACCGCTGCGTCCTCAGGACCTGGGCCAACGGCTGCGCCGAGCAGGACAGAGCCTGGAGCCGCGGAGCCTCCGTGCAGGGCGGCGGCCCACAGCCTCCTGCCTCAAACACGCCCGCGGGGCTGCTGCGCGAGGCCCGGGCGCCGAGCTTCTCTGCAGATAAACCAGAGAACCACGTGTCCCCAAGGCCTCGAGAGGTGTGACGGATGACGACACTCCACCGGTCCCCGCGGGGGCGGGGGCGGGCGCCACACTGCAATCACGCCCCCTGTGAGGAGGCGCTGGGGCCGCTGTGCCTGGCGCGGGGAGAAGCCTGCGCCGTGGCCTTGTGCTGTGGACCCTCCCCCACAGCCACGTTCGACGACCTTGTGCTGTGGACCCCCCCAGCTGGAAGGCACTGAGCAGTGTCCACGTCCTGTGCTCGGGGGCCCGTTGCTGCGGGGCCCCAGGCAGGCAGACGCCGGGAGAAACTCACACGGACCCCAACCCAGGGCCCAGGTCCAGCCGCCGCCGCCCGGGGGGCCTGGCAGCAGAGGGCGCCGGGCCCTGGGGGTGAGCCTCTGAAGGTGCGTCGCCCGCTCGGGCGCGAGGCAGCATCCGCCCGCCACGGGCACCCCGTGGGCAGAGGGTGAAACACAGCTCCCCGTGAGGGCCAGTAGGTCTGAGCGGGGCTTTGGGCGGCGGCCGGCCCTGAGCCACGCAGTGGTGACGGGGACGTGACAGGGACGCGGCGTGGCGGGCGTCTGGAGCGTCACCCTCTGTCCCACTTACCTCGGCCGCAGGCTCCCCGCTACGCAGGTGAGCTCGCGCCCCGGGCGACCCCGCGGCTCTCAGGCGAACCCCCGCCTGCGCGCGCCCATCCCCAGTCCTGCACGGGAGCACGGTGCCCGAGGCGCCCAGCTGGCTGCGAGCAGCGCAGCCCGTGTGGCGGCGGCGAAGCACAGGCGCCCTCGGGGTCCGCGGGGGTCCAGCGCCCGGGAGAGGGAGCCGCAGGGTGGTCTGCAGGCTCCACGGGCGCCACGCCCGCCTGGGGCTCGGCTGTGCCGTTGTCACGAGTCCCCTTGCTCAGCCCCCAACCGGCAGGCCCTGCACCGGCTTCCGGGGCCCCTGCTGCCGGGGAGGGAACCGCCCGAGGCCCCGAAGCCCCGAGGCCCCGCCCGACAGCTGAACAAATGCAGGGACCCCCCCGACAGTCGCTCCCTGCGCTGCCTCCCCAGGGCCGGGCTGAGGGGCCCCGTGCCCCCGGGCCCCGGACGGGACGCGCTGACCGGGGTAACAGTCACCAGGAGTGACAGCGCACCCCGCCCCGGGGGAAGGCCAGGGCGGTGAGCGGCCCTCGGCCGGACCTGCTGCCCCACCTGCCCGGCGTCTCACAGTGACCGAGGAAACCCGGGGTCCCCTCACCTCTGCTCCCGGCCACCCCCGGCCCCGGTCCAGCCCCAGCCTGGCCTCCGGGAAGCGGTCCTTCCACCCAGCCCTACTGTGCGCCCTGCGGGGGCGAGTGGCCAGGCTGAGCGAGGGCCCAGGGGTCTGGCCCCACCAAGCGCCACAGAAGCGGCGAGGGACGCGGATGGGGACTCACCACCCCGCACCCCTCTCCTCGGTGTCCCTGCCTGACTTACCTGCGTGGACCCCCGGCCCCACTATGAGCCCGCGGGCCCTGGGGCTGCAGCAGGGACCGGCAGGACCCCGTGAGCCTCCCCCCAGAGCCCTGGGGACTGAGTACCAGCCAGAACTGCTCGGGGAGGAAGGGGCTCCGTCACCTCTGGCCTCGCCCACACGCTCCCACTGGACGCTGCACGGCGCCACGCGGCAGCCTCCACCGGCCACGGGCTCAGGAGAGGGGCCGCCACCCTCAGGCGACAGGGAGGTGGACGGAAGGGCTTCGGGAGGACAGTCCTGAAAACCCCCATCGCGTCCTGCGTCTAGGCCGGCGGCGGTCCCTCCCCGCGCAGCGGCCAGGGGGCTGGCCGGATGCAGGGAAGGTGTGGACGGACCGCCCCCCGCAGCTCCCGAGCAGAAGGGCGGAGGGGCCTCCCCTCAGGAAGAGGACGACGCTGTGCCTCGCCCCCACTCACAGCCTGGCGTGGAGGTGTGGGGGGCGGCCCCGGGGGCACCCCCTGGCCCCTTCGAGAGCTGCTGCGGTGAAAGCGGGGGCGGCTCGGCCTGCAGGCCCACGGGGCCCTTCTATCCGCACGGCGCGATGGGGTGTCACACGCAGGGGCTGCCAGACGCCGCCCCCAGGGCTGGGGGGAGCCTCCTCCGGCCAGGGCAGGGGGCCGCCCACACCCAGCAGGGACTGCGTAGCCCGCAGCCTCCCTGCGGAGGCAGGGGTCCTCCAACCCCATCCCCCGGCGGCAAGTTCCGTGCGGTGTTCGTGCCTGGAACCCCCCCATCAGCCCCCGCCCCGGCCTCCCCGCCCCCCTGCTCCACGTGGCAGCAGGTCTCCGCCTCCGATCCGAGCACACAGCCGGTCCGCCCACGTTGGGGACAGCTCAAAGCCACGGGGCCACGGGGCCCCGGGGCTGAACCACCTGCTACCGTACGAGTACCCACGTGCCCGCCCCAGCCCACCCCCCTTCCACAGCCGAGTGACGGGAGCTTCCGGAACAGGCCTGAGTTGGCACCGCCCTTTCCGTTTGTGTTCCTGTCCCCTCCGACCGGCATCCAGCAAAGCGCCTGCCCGTGCGGAGAGCACTGCGTGCCCACCACGCGCTGCCCGAGGGCTGGGGCCCAGCGGGGGGCGGGCCGGGGACGAGAGCCAGAGCCAGGCCGCCTGTGGGAGCTGCACGTGAACCCCCGAGGTTCCCCTGCAGGACGGCCTGCCCCCAAAAAACGCCCTCGGCGAGAAACCCCTCGGTCCCCGCGGGCAGCCGGGCCCTGCCCATGGGCCGCGACTTCAGGCCGGGGCCGGCTGCCCTCTAGGCCCCCGACAGAGCAGGGCTCTCGCCCCTCCGGACGTCTACCTCCCTGCCATGCCACGAGAACAGGCCCGGCTACGCCACTCGACAGGACAGAGCCCCCACAAGCACTCGGGAGAACGGAGGTCCCCTTAGGAGAAGGCGCCCTCCGCAGGCGAGCGGCTCTGTGACCCCGGGCAGCAAGCAAGGCCCCGGGTGTCCGAGGTGTGGGGAATGGGCCCTCCGCCGCTATGCCCGGCCCCTCCAGCCGGTCCGCCTGAGGCCGGTCATCGCCCTGGGGCAGCGGCTGCCCAACCACCGCCGTGCCACCGGGCACTGCGGCGAGCCGAAAAGGGGGTGACGCGTGCCGAAGAAACAGTTAAACGGCTCCCCAGAAATGTTAACACGTTCAAACCCAACGCGAGGCACCCAACCGCTTTTTCCCACGAGAAGCTCCTCTCCGGCGCGCTCGCAGCACGGGCGTCCGGCAGGGCCCCACACCAGGGCCCACACCCGCCCCCAGGCCCAGCCTGGCGCTCGCCGGGGCGGGTCACAAGGAGGGTCCCTGCCCCTCCCAACAGCTCCCTCCCTTCTGAACCCCTCACGGAGTCAAAGGAGAAAAACAATCTATTAAAAGCCTTATTAAGCATCAGGCACTTAATGGGATTCCTACACAAGGGCCTTTCTAGGACGAACAAAAGCACCACCTCCTCCTAGAACCACCAGAAATCTGGAAAAGGGGTTAAAAGCGCGACAGTCTGTGAGGACGCTCCCGCACACGCACGGCCACACAGGCCCCTGCGGCCGCCCCGGGAAGGGCTGGGCGGGGCTT